GCTGGTGCTGGTGCTGGTGCTGGAGGTGTTCCTCCCGGCTATATCCAGTACAACGGCCAGCTAATGACGATTGATCAGTACCAGCAAGCCATTGCTGGCGCTGGCGCTGGCGCCGGTGCCGTTGCTGGTGCTGGTGGTCTGCAGCGTCGCGACCTGTACTCATACGACATGGGCAGCCTTCTGATCGACAATGTGCTTCACAAGCGACAAGACGCCACCGAGCCGGCCAAGGCGCCAGCCAAGGTGCTCATGTGCATCAATGGCGATCCCGACGTGCCTGCGATCAAGTTCAACACGATGACCGAGCTTCGCATCCGCGACGCCTCGGCGCAGCAGGACGGCGTGATGCAGGTCACGAACCTACCCAACTACCAGACACCCTGGATGCCTTTCCTCCCCACCGCCGATATGTGGGCCGAACAGCAAACACTCATGATCGAACAGGAAAAGATCATCGAGACCAATATGACCACCGCTCCGCCTCCCTCGTCCTAGCTCCGGCAGGTCGGATCGGTCTCTCTCTTCCTGCACACGCTCTGCCAGCCTGGCTCCGTCCATGCTTTGTGGTGTCCCTCTTCTATCCGCATTCACTTGCTTCAGTCGTAATGAACATCGTGATTCCATGCAGCTTGCCTTCGTCATTTCAGACCCCAATCCGACTCTGCGACCTGGTTCCTGCCACTTGTACTCGACGACGTACGGTGGAGAAGCACGTCTTCAGGGGTCGCCAACGTTTGCTGCCTCGACTGACCATCCTGCGGCAATCGTTCGAAACCCTAACACGACTGTTTTCGGCGCTCCCAACAGTAGCCGGAGTTCAAAAGCTTGGGTTTTCCCTCGAGTCTGCAAACAAGAAGCCAAAAAAGGGTATCAAAAAGGGAGGTACGGAAAGAGCGGAAACTTGGTCGGTGTTAGGTTGCGTCTTCTTGAGCACGACGTTATCGGCATTACCAGGCTTAGTCGAGGCATCGTGAGGGGCAGCGATGCGGTGCGGCTGGTTGAGGGAGGCGAATTCCCGAGTCTGCTTCAGCCGTACACTGAGCGGCCAAATGACCGGATCCGTAGCAGGAGAAACAACGTCGACGAGGGCACAGGTCAAAGGAATGATAGGAGCTGGAGGTGCTACGGCAGATGGTGCACCAGGGCAGACGCCCAGCGTACACGAGTTGCATTCTGCACCAACAATCTTGAGGTATCCGGGAAGAAAGTGGAATTAACTCGGGTGGACGCCTCCGTCCTCGCCAGGGGGTAGAGATGCCAGGACCACCATCTTGTCGGTGTCCTCAGGTGGTGTGGAATTGCTGGAGTTAGAGACCCGGGCTACCCAGAATTCGTGCACTCGAACGTGAGATTGAAGAAGGATTGCAATGTCGGCGGCGGTTTCAGACCATGCATTGCGAAGGGGAATCTCGAGCACTTCGATGACCAGAGAGGTCTTGGGGAGGTTAGCACCCACACAGGGGCTTTGAAGTTGCGAGCCATTGAAGACCAGCTGAGCCTCAGCAAGGATGGCGAGATTCTCAGGCGAGACAGTGACTTCGACAAAGCGACCTCTTCCGAAACCACGGGAGAAGTTGACGGTGCAATCGGTGTTGACAGCACTCTTCGAGGCGAGATAGCTTCGGACCTGCACGCGAAAAGAGCCGCGTGCGATGTCCTCTTCGCGGTCGATGCTGAATCGTCCAGTAAACTGCCACCGAACGGTGCAGGGTGGCAGCTTGGCGCGGTCGCTGTTGGGGAAAGGGAGTTCCTCGTAAGCGACGAGAGGGGGAGGGAGAGCATCGAGCGTCGTCGGTCGGATGGCAGACCAGAGGTGGCGGCCAGTGTAGATGGGCGTGATCAGATCCTGGACGGGCTTATTAGGCCCAGGATGAGTTGAAGGCATTCCAACAGCCGCGGTTGCTGTGGTGACAGGGTTGGCGGCTCGATTGCGGTACGGAGACATTGGGAACGCGGAGCTCTGCAGAGCAGGCTGGACGCGATTGGAAGAGAGGAGTCGGAATCATACCGAGCTGATGGACTACCTTGCAGTCAGAGTCTCATGGGTCAAACTCGGCAGACAGGCGGTCGAGCAGAACTTGTGGGAGAGGCACGGACCCATGGGTCAAGACGCAGCGATTACTTGCGTGTGGTGCGCACGGGCTGCAAAAGTGGGAAAGGTTCTCGTAGTGACCGTCCGACCTCTCAGGCCGGACGGTATTGGCAATGGCGCCGCGATGGCGTTGGAGAGGTTGATCTTGCTCGAGACGGAGTCTGAGGCTTCCCAAGGCACACTGGATGCGCCAGGAAGTTTGACTTGCGCTATCTGACGAGTAGTGCCAGGGTGTGCAAAAAAGGACGAAAAAGTGAAATCGAAGCAGATGCTTCGAAGTTGTGCTTCAACCCGGAATCGAACCGGGGGCTCACCCGTGTGAAGGGCGTGATTTAACCGTTAATCGATTGAAGCGCTTGTTGTACTGCTATGCTTACCAGTCTCAGTTGTGCGTATATGAATGACTCTATCCGCCGCGTAATTCGCAGAGACTGCTCACCTTTGTCGCTGAAAGTTGTGTGCTCAACTGAAGACACAAACGGTCGAACGAGTCAGGCGACGGCGGAGAAAAGTGTGACAAAGATATGCTAATTTAAACAGGATCAAGACATCAGTTGATGACGTAGGTCTCTGCGCTAAGGACGGACTGCTGGGAGAAGGTGGTGGCGGCGCTGGTGTCGGCGAGGACGACGTCGGCCACCGACACGCTGGAGAGCGTCTTCTCACAGACAAAGTCGACGACGACGGGGAAGAAGACGTCGACGTTTTCTGCGCCCGAGGTGACGGAAAACTCGAGGCTGCCCGACTTGTTGGAGGAGGAGATGGAGTCGAGGCTCCACTCGAGGTTGTTGGTGTCCTCGTTGACGGCCCACGAGCCCTCGGGACATTCGACCGAGGGAACGCTTCCTTCGGGCAGCGGGATGGCGATGATGACGCTGCGAAGCTCGCCGAGCTGGTCGTTCTCGAGCTCGTACTCGATGCTCACGTCGCAGCCGCCTTCCCCGTTGGGCGAGGGCCAGCAGTTGATGGAGAGCGGCAGCGCGGTCTCGTCCTTGGTGACCATGCGCCAGCGGAGGAGGGCGAGCGACTGGTTGACGGGGAAGGGCTTGCGGGCATCGCGCGGTGCGAGGACGCGATCCGAGGCCCACGCCGCCTTGTCCACCTGCGGGTTGGTCTTGAACTGCAGGTCGCCGGCGGAGAGCACGAGGTTGCCGTCCTCTGGCGGAGCGAGTTGGAGGCGGATCTTGGCGAGGGTGGGGTCGGTGATCTTGAGGAAGAGATCGCCCTTGATTTCGAGCGAGTCGAGGCCGCCGTCACGGTTGCCCGAGATGGAGACACGCTCCTTGATGATGGCGTGGATGGCCTCCTGGTGGACGGGATCGAGAAGGTCGAGCGGGTCGACGGCTGCCGGTGCGGGTGGTGCACGACTCGCCGAGGGGTTGGCAGCGGCAGAAGCGGCGATTGAGGCGGAAGCGGCGTTGGCGGCAGCAGTGAGCTCTTCGTCTGCGGCGGCGGCAGCAGCGGCGAGGTCGCCACCCATGGCGCCGAGGAGATCAGCGCCCTTTGACTTTTTGCCGAGTTGCATGCCCTTGCCCTTGAAGGGCTTGGCTGCTGGGGTGGAGGTGGACGAGAAGCCGGTCTGTACGGGGGCCTGTGTGGGTGGGGGCTCGAAGCGCTGCTGGACGGAGCCAAAGCCGCCGGAGTTGGCAAAGCCGCCCGAATTGCCGCCCATCTGACCGCGACGCGCGGCATCCCTGCGCTGCATCTCGAGCTGCTTTGCCCTGCGCTTGAGCTCCTCCTTCGCCTCCATCTCCTTGTTGCGTTCGATGATCTCCTGGATCTTTTCCTCGTGCGATTCCATCTCGAGGATGGACCTGACCTGGGTGAGGTTGACGTTCTCGCGGTAGCCGAGCGATACGATCTCGTCGAATGCGCCGAGGAGCTCGAAGCTGTATCTGAGCACGGAGGACTCGTCGAGGGATCTGCAGATGTCGGAGGTGACGCGGGCAAAGAGGTGGAGGGTGTCGATGTCCTGGAGGATATTTGAGTTCTTGTTGGTGATGAGGATCATGTAGAGGTCTTCGAGGGGTTGGTAGACGAAGCGCACGGCGTCTGTCTCGACCGAGGTGTGCTGCGAGCCTGCGGAGATGAGTTTGGGGAACGAAGCGAGGAGACCCTCGATCCTCGACCTTGGCATGTCGCGGAACTGACGGCTGATGACGGGCTTGCCGCCTCGCGTGGAGACGGAAGCAGCAAGGATGACCATGATGGAGGTCTATGCGGGGTTGTTGGTGGGGCGAAGAGTGTCGGCTGGGTGTGCTGCAGGCGGAAACGTCGGTTGATGTCGGCGGTAAACTTGAGCAGCCGTGTGCTGGATGTTGGTGCGGATGTGAGGGCGAGACAAGCAAGAGTGCCACCAGCAGCGAGAGGTGGTGGAGGGTGCGCGCGCGCAAAGGTCGCCAACGGGAGGAACAAAGCAGCGTCGAGGTGATGAAGTGACGAGAAGAAAGGTGGCTCAAGCGGCGCGCGGGTCGAGGTGTGTGTCTGTGTGTCACTCTGGTCGGTGCGAGAGTGCGGACTGGCTGGCTGTCTGGCTGGCTGCCCTGCGTGTCTCCTTGGACGCGAGCCAGACAGGCCACGGGATCAGCCCGCCACGCCAGCAGGGCCAAGCCAAGGCAAAGGCACAACAGCTGGTTCGAGCGCAGCTTCGACCCCAAGCTCCACGTCTGCGCCCAAGCACCGCGTCTCGCACTCGGGCGGCCAGCCCCAGCCTAGGATTGATCGATCTCGTGGGATCTTCCTCCCGTGCGGAAGAAGGGATTCTCGTAGAATTTCCGTTTTGGAATTTCGAGGCGACGGCAGCTCCCGGGTCTTTGGGCAGCGCCAGGCCGGTGGCGCCTCGATCAGGGCCGCTCTTTCAGGCAGCCCAGCGCAGTATCGAGCCGGCTGGAGTGCGAAATTGGGAAATTTGGATTTTTCTCAACAGCCCCGCCCAGTGCAGAGAGAGAGAGGGCCGATGGCAGCCTCCGGAATGGGTGAGCTAAAGGCTCGTTCATCGTCGCATCACCACGAGCTTGAGCGCTCGGCTTGGCTGGCTTTGGCTGGACTGGGGCTCGTTCGCGCTTCTTCTCGATGATTGGAAATCACAGTCGGCTGCTGATCCACATTTCGTTCCATCCTCCTCCACTACCACCGTCACCACACCCTATCCATCGTCGTCGCCATGTCCTTCCTGACTGGAGCCATCCGCACCGCCGCCGTCAGCACCTCCGCCCGTGCTGCCCTCCTCGGCCGCACCGCCCCCGTTGCCCTCTCCCAGCAGGGTAAGTAGTCTTATTCCGGCCGCACGAACCGGCCTTGTCTCGGGTTCACGCCTCTGCCTTTCGACGCGGTGCAGCGATCGTAGCTAGACCAATGCAGTTGAACGAATCAGCAGCAGCAGTAGCAGTAGCAGGAGCAGAAGCAGGACGACTTGCATACTTGGAAGTCAGCATCGACACCAAAGCCGACACAGACCATGCACGATGCGGAATGCGCTAGCTATTCGCGATTCGACCTTTGCGACATCTCCATGGATATGCTTGTCCTCCGGCATGTCAAATCCCGAATCGTGGGGTCCATCGGGCCCGGACCTTGTGGACGTGGAAGCGACGCGCTCCAAGTGTACAATCCTTATCCCAGGCAGGGATTGCGTTCAAACCAGGCTCGGTCAGATCAGGCCTGCAGGCAAATCGCTGCGCAGCGATCTGCTGGTGCCAGTGCTCGCGATCCACCAGTCAGCCTGCCTCCATCTCGCCATCACACAAGAGCGGCCCATGCATCTTGACGTTCCTACTGCTTCAACTGCTGTTGCTACCAACACTGCTGCCGCTGCTAGTGTCCCTCGCCCTGCGCCGATCGTGGTCATCCCAGTCTGGCGACCAACAAAGGCAATACTTTGCGCTGCATCGACGCGTTGCAGGCATGACGTGGCGTGAACACCGACGACGACGCTCGCAACTGCCTCGCCCATCATACTGACGTCTTGCCCTCGTTCGCATCCCATTTCGCTACAGTCCGCGGCTACGCTGCGCACCACGAGGAGGAGTCGTTTGACGCCTTCAACTCGCGCTACGTCGGCTTCTTTGACGCGGTCGAGGACCTATTTGAGCTGCAGCGCGGCCTGAACAACTGCTTCGCGTACGACCTGGTGCCCTCGCCCGAGGTGATCGAGTCGGCACTGCGCGCCAGCCGCCGCGTCAACGACTACTCGACCGCCGTGCGCATCTTCGAGGGTATCAAGCAGAAGGTCGAGAACCAGAGCCAATACAAGCAGTACCTCGACGCACTCCAAGGCGTCCGCGAGGAGCTCGGCATCAAGCTCAAGGAGGAGATGTACTCGGCATAATTTCTCCTCACTGATGCTGCCCGTCGCTGTATAAAGTGCCTCCTCTAGTGGAGCGCCCAATTCCACATCCATCTCGAATCCACACCGGGTTGCGAACACACACATGCATGACAGCGGTGTGCGAATGTGGGGTGCCAAGGCAAAGGCAAAAAGGTGCATCTGACCTGCGAAATCCTGCATTGACGAGTAACATCCGTCAAGGGGGCGAGGGGGTGAATACGTGACTATAGAAGTGGTTTCAAAGTGAGTGAAGGATTAGCGCTTCCAGTTTGAGTCGCGGTCGTCTTCGTCGTCGGCCTCGCGCGGTGTTGACTGCTGCTCAGCGTCAGCGGCGGGTGCGTTGTTGGCAACAGGCTCGGTTGGAGGAGGTTGAATCCAGGAAAGTTTGACAGCTCCTACGTCTGCGATCTCTGCGCCGGCACGGATGGCCTGTTCAGCGCTGTTGCGCGCCTTGTACACCACAGTCGCAGCTGCGGGATCGAACGAATCGAGCTCGCCAAACGCCGCAAAGTGCGCACGCACCTTGTCGGCGTCAACACCTTCGGGGAGGCTTTCGATCTTGATGCGTGTGGTGCGGTTGTCGATTCGAAGCGACCGATTGGCCGTTCCTCCTCCGCGCGCATACGGCGCATAGCCTCCCCGTCCACGCGGCACAAACCCTCCGCGCCCGCGTCCACGTCCACCATAGCCATATTGTTGCGCTCCATCAATCCCCAGCGACGCCGCTTCCGCCTTGAGCGACTCGAGCTTCTTCTTGAGCTCGTCGGTGGTCGAGCCGGCCTCGGTTCCCTTGGCATGCAATTCGAGCTCGCGATCCAGCTGCTCCTTTTCGCGCTTCTCCTTCTCGGCCTTCCAATTGCCGGCGTCCCCGCCTGCAGATGACCCGGCATCCTTCGGTGCAGCCTGCAAGGCCTCCACCGCCGCCTTGACCGCCTCGGTCGACGCCTTGATCTCCTCGCCGAGCTTCTTGAGCTTGGCCATGGTCGCCTTCTTGTCGTCGGCGGACAGATCCTTGTTGCCAAAGTTGGCCAGCAGACTCTTCTGCTCGGCCAGCTGCGCATCCAGCGCCGCCTGCTTGGTCCTCTGGTCCTCAAACAGCTTCTTGCGCTCTTCCGACATGCCGCCTGCAGCTGCACCAGCGCCGGCGCCTCCGGTTGGCGGACGAGCGTGGTAGACGTTGGACGACTTGCCCGGCACGAAACCACCCCTGTGCGCACCATGCGACCCAGGTGCATGCCCTGCTGCCGACGGCGGGGGTCGCGGGGTGGGTGCTGTCCCCGCCGCCTCGTCGAGGCGCTGGAAGTAGACCTTGACGAAGCGGTTGCCAAAGATGACGTCGGGGCTCTCGTGCGCAGCCTTTGCCTCGCCCGGCTGCGAGTAGCTGACGAGCGCCTTGGAGCCCGGCTGGTCGATACTGATGTTGGTGATGGTGCCAAACTTCTTAAAGTACTCGTTGACCTTGATCAGGTCGAGGCTGTCGGCAGGCACGTTCTCGATGACCAGCGTCGTGTTGGATCGGCGCGAGGATTGGAATGTGCCGGGAGGTCCACCGCCACGCCCACGGCCACGTCCACCCATGCCGCCTCCGCGTCCACCCGGGCCGTTGAATGGCGCACCCATCGCAAAGCCGCCGGCATCCGGACCTTGCTGAGGATGCCCCATGCGATTTGCCAGGTTCTGTGCGTCGCCATTCATGCCAGGGGTCTGAGACGGAGCGCCGGGGGGAGTGGGGCCGCCGGGCATGCCCGGTGCGGGCCCCATGCTCGGATGCCAGCCTTGTGGAGGCATGCCGTAGGGAGCGCCTTGGAACATCATGGGAGGACCCTGCATGCCATTGGAAGGTCCTCCTGGGCCTGGGCCCATCAGGTGGTACGGCGCGGGCTGCTGACGAGGGTTGGGTGCGCCGGGAAGTACGCTGGACGAGTGCTCGAACTTGCACTTGTCGCCGCGCGGGCAGAATCCCTTGTTGTGATAGTCCCTGCAAAGCTGTTTGCGGGGTTCTCTGCGACTTCCTTCGCCCGATGCACCGTTTGCATCACCATTGTCGTGCCTTTCCCTGGAGTCGCGCTCGCGGCCGCGGGCGGCTGGATCTTCCGAGGCTGCTGAGGAGTCGTGAACGCGTCGCGACTGTCGCGGTGGCGAGCGTGTGGAGGCATCGGCGTCGTCGTCGGCCCTTCTCTTCCTGGACGCGTCGGCGGTGAGGCTGGAGGTGGATTCAGAAGCGGCAAGCTGGGCGTTGTCGGATTCTTGGGCGTGCTGCGCCTGCGCCTGGGGCAGGTACGACTTGTCGGTTAGGGCAGCGAAGACTTTGGTGACAAAGGGCTCGGTTTCTGCGGCGAGAAAGTCCTCGAGCTGCTCTGTGAGCATGGACTGGAGCTCCTCCTCGGGGCCCTCGTGCTTGAGGAGCGCGAGCACATAGTCTGCGAGCACCTCTGGATCCGCATCGCAGATAGGGCCTAGCTCCGAGGTGAGCCACGCCTTGATGTCGTCGGTGTGTGCTTCGTCGAAGAGCATGTCGCTGTGTTCGCAGTGCAGGCGGCGGCGTTCTCGGATGTATGCAAGGCCACCGAGCGAACGACGGGACAGAAGGAAGCCAAGGCGTCCAGCCGGAAAGAGCTCGAGGGGAAGCTCAAGGTCGGCGACCGAAGTGCGAGATTAGGCAAGAGTGGGTCTCCTAGCAGCGCGAAGAACACAACGGTGTAGGGCGCTTTGCTGCTGATGCTGCTGCTTGTCTAGCCTGTGCGACGTGAGGTAGAGAACGAGATGGTGGAGCCGCGAACGGAGAAGAAGCGTGTGTCGTGGAGAGGTAGGGCTCGACTTGGGCGGCCAGATGCGAAGCCCATGCATCAAATTCCGCCTTCGACTTTCCATCCACCCAAACTCGGCCTCCGCTCCTTCGCGCTCAGTTGCCGCCATGCGATCACACTCTCTCGCTCTCACTGCTCTGATGCCTGAAATTTCTCGCAGCACGCCTCCACTTTGTGTTAGAGCGCGTTCCATCCCGCAAAACCACCTTGCGCCGCCTCGCTCCTGTGCCATGCTCATGAGGATCCTGGGCTTACAACGGCAGCGATGGTGCCGATTATCCAAAAGCTCACTCCTTCCATCTACAGCAGACGCGCATTGCGTCAACCCTATCTCACATGGTTCGTGGGCGCCAACCTGGCGATGTACGATGTCGGAGACGAGTGAGCAGGCCGTGGCCCCGCGTGTCGTGAGCGGATCGGAGTATCGCCGATTGACATGTCATTGGCAGAAGATCGACATTAAAATTCGTCTTTCCATGTTACGCCGTCTAATTTCCCATCAGAGATCATTTGCAAAGACATCACGTGACAAAAAGCCTGATCACGTGTATAACTATATTTCTCTGAAGCCAGGCTCGGTCGAGGAATCAGAGCAGCCGCGGCGCTGATTTCGGTTGCACTCGTCGGGAGAGCCGTGTCCAGCTGCGAGTTTGTGCGGCTGGGAATGAGCGGCAGCACAGCGCGGAATGAGCTCGAGCTCTCGACTTGACCGTTTGTGGGCGGCTCGAGCTGAGCAATCCAGGACAGACAGCAGCTGGTGGCGGCCCGCAGCGAGCGAGGAGGGAGAGGGAGAGATGTCGCGAAGGCTGCCAAGGTCGGACTGCGGCTGGGCGAGAGAGTGCGGATGCGAGTGACAGACTGCCGCGGTGAGCGCTCAACTCGGGTGGTGCAGCGCAGTGGAGACCCATTCGAGATCGTTCGGCGCCATCCTTCCTGCTTCACCCTACGACCACCCCTCCCTCCCCCGTCGACAGAATACGTAAGTTTCGCCCAGCATCTTGATCGCATCAGCACACGCACCACCAACGCACGCACTCGACATCGCACCCGCATCGCCGTTGTCCATCACCACCTCGAAAGGCCGCCTGCGAATCAGACCAACAAACCACCAGCATCTTCTACAATTTATTACCGTACTAGTACGCATCAGCATCAGCATCAGCTCGACCGTATTTTCCCACGCTTGGCATCGTGCGAATTGCCCGTCACCTCATCAGACCGCTAGGCTAGGAATCGTCGGACGACTTGGTCAAAGGAGGATGGACAGATCAGGTCGCGGGAGGCACACTCGTAGCAGTCACCACAGGTCCAGCATGCTCGCCCTCCGAGTCGCTGTCGCAAAGACTAGCCCAATGCACTGTCTCAGCAGCGCAGTCGAAGCCGGCAGACGATTGCCTGGACTTGATGTTCGACCCCTGTGCTTCCGTACTGCGAAAGGCCAACATACTGGAACCTCGCCACACCAGGCCTATCTTCCAGCAGCATACTCGACAACTTCGACGGCACTGTCGCTGTTCCGCCAATATTGCCTGCGTTGATGCGATCAAGCCCCACGACCATTCGTCAACTATGCGAACCCGCATACTGACCACGCCGTCACTTTCTTGTTGTTCACCACCCACAGTCCTCAAGATGACTCGCCTCACTGAGTACATGGTGATTGGACGCCACCTTCCCACCGAGAAGGAGCCCTCTCCCAAGCTCTACCGCATGAGGATCTTTGCCGTCAACAAGTCGGTCGCCGAGTCCCGCTTCTGGTACTTCGTTCGTCAGCTCCGAAAGATGAAGAAGGCCACCGGTGAGATCGTTGCCATCCACGCCGTAAGTATTTGCATCCTTCGCACGCGCAAGTGCATGTCAGCATCGAGGAAAGAGTGCATCCCACCGCATCGACGGCAGCATACCAGCAGGAGGAAAGTTGGACCACGCACAAGGGTAACGGATACGACGGCCTCGCCGTCTCAACACAGACCCGTATCGCATTCGCAGGATGACCGTGCATGGACGTGGAAAGCATGCTTGGATGTCCACTGTCTGGATCTTCGATGCAGCCTTCAATTGGATGTGCGTCGACGGAAAGCTTGTCGTATCGGATTGCACCCTTCTCGATGCTGCAGTCTCGATGCTGTAGAGTCGAACGGCAGAGCAGGCATGCTGACCTTGGTTCTGTTCCGCTCCCCCCACAGATCAACG